AAGGATTTCATTTTATTTACCCACTTCTTTATAACAGATTGGGAGGTGAGAGCCAGTCTATAGCACTTTCCACATTTCTTTTTACAGATTATGAGGGGAGGTGAGCCTCTCTGGGTGTTTCGGTTTTAGTGATCAGAGGAGTGTCAACCTCCACTTCACAATAAAACAGTGACATTCTTATTCACAGTGGACATTGCTGACTGCAGCAGCATTTATTGTCTGTCCCTTGTTGCCCCTTGAGAAGGTGGGGGTGAGCTACCTTCCTAAACTGCTGCAGTCCAGGTGCTGTGGGTAGACTTTCAATGCTCTTATGGAGGAAATTCCAGGATTTTGACCCAGCAACAGTAAAGGAACAGTGATATATTTCCAAGTCAGGATGGTGAGTGGCTTGGAGGGGAGCTTGCAGGCCATGGTGTTCCCTTGTATCTGCTGCTCTTGTCCTTGGAAGCAGTCATGGGTTTGGAAGGTGGTGTCTAAGGGGCTTGGGGAATTTCTGCAGTGCATCTCATAAATAGTACACACTGCTGCTACTGAGCACCAGTAGGTGGGAGTGGATGTTTGTAGATGTTGTGCTAATCAAGTGGGCTGCTTTGTCCTGGATGGTGTAAAGCCTTTTGCATGTTGTTGGAGCTACTTCCATCCAGGCAAGTAGGGAATATTCCATCACACTCCTGACTTGTGCCTTGTAGATGAAGGACGGGCTTTTGGGAGACAGGAAATGAGTTACTCGCCACAGTATTCCTAGCCTCCTGTAGTCACTGTGCTTATGTGGTGAGTATAGTTGAGTTCCTGTTCAATGGTATCCCCTAACATGTTGTTAGTGGGGATTGAATTATGGTAACACCGTTGAATGTCAATGGGGCAATGGTTAGATTGTCTCTTATTGGAGATGGCATTGCCTGGCATTTGTGTGGCATAAATGTTACTTGCCACTTGTCAGCCCAAGCCTGGATATCGTCCAGGTCTTGTTGCATTTGAGCATTGTCAAGTGCCTGGTTGGAACTCCTGAGTGTTAATGAATAAAATGTTCATACTGTTGAGTTTATGACAGGTTGAGTAAGCACATCAGGGCCATTACTGTAGTGTTGGTTTTGGAACAGAAGGTTCTGGTCTCAGTTCTGAAGAATCAGGAGTTGAGTTCCGAAGCAAATTTTAGTTTTCTCCCAGCAGGGGAACCAAGGTTTAGTTTGGGGAGTCAGTTACACTAACTGAAATGTTTGAATTTGTGAAGTTTCCAAGCCAGGAAAGTTTGAATAGAAATGTTCAAGTTGTTAAAACTGAAAAAGTTTCAGACATTAGAATTGAGAAAAGTTTATGGCAGCAAACTCAGAAAGGAATTGTAAAAGAAAGATCTCATTAATTTAAGGAGGGAAACCAGAAGGTGTCAGTTAAATAAGGACTTTAAAAAAAATAGAGATAAGGGTGATATTTCTCTAGGATTGAGTATCTATGATGGATGATGTTGGGAAATAGGTTAAAACTTTGATTTGCTGTCGTGTTAAAACCTTTCTGTCTCCTGTATAGGTGGTTTTGTTCCTATGTCTTCTCTTTTGTAATAAACTTCTGTTCCACCGTTAAAGAACATCTGCAGCCTCTTAGGACTATGTTTCAATGACTACGAACCACAGTAACCAACTGCAAAAGTTAAACAAGTGGTCTATGAAACCGGGTTTCAATGTGGGATCCAATGTGTGCCCATCAGAGCCACCACCCTAAAATTGTAACCCCCTCCTTTAAGTCTCCTCTATAAAACAACTGAGATCTGCCAGCAGGCCCATCTAAAAATCCCAGGATTACCTTGTCTGGAAGCCATCAGTGTTCTTTGTTAATGACTACTTGTGATCCCAATAGTGGCCATCACTGGGTTCTGGCGATGCTGGGACAGCAATCAGATTGGCCAACTGATGTCTAGGGTGGGATCTCTTCCCAGATGGAGGCAGGAGAGCCACTCTGTTTCTCAATTAAGGCCAATCCCAGCTCAATATCACTGCGTGGGATCCAGGATTTGGCGGTCTGACTGTGGAATCTTTGGTCAGGGGGCTGGGGAACACATCTCCCTGTAATACCAGCCCATGGTTCCTTGTACCTTAGTTACCTTAGAAACCTCACCCCAGTGACCACTCTATACCTAGGAGCCTGGAGAGGGTATACTGGTAAATGTTTTCACCTGGGGGGGCGGGGAGGGCTGTGCGAGGCAACCATGTTTAATCTAGGAATGGGGCAAGGGGACAGTTATCACTCTGCACTGCAGTCCTGCATGAATCAAACCCATATTGAACCAAAACACCCTCTGACACGGTGGCTCAGAGGTTAGCACTGCTGCCTCACAGCTCCAGGGACCCGTGTTCAGTTCCACCCTTGTTTGTGTGGAACTTGCACATTGTCTGCATGGGTTTTGTCCAGGTGCTGCAGTTTCTTCCCATGGTCCAACGGTGTGCAGGTTAGGGTGGAGTGGCCATGCTAAATAGTCTGTAGTGTCCAGGGATGTGCAGGCTAGGTGGATTAGCCATGGGAAATGCAGGGCTACAGGAATAGGGTAAGGGCAGGAATAGGGTGGGATGCTGTTCAAAGGGTCAGTGTGGACTCAATAGGCCAAATGTACACTCTAGGGATTCTATGATTCTATCCCTGAAACAGATTACTGTTTGTGGGAGCCTTCTGTGCACAAGATGGCTGGCACATTGCCCACCTTGATACAGCAATGGGGTGAATGTCTCAGAATCAGAGGTGAGTCAACACAATGGAGACAAGGGGACTTTTTTTTTTCGCTGGGAGGCTGGTGAATCTTTGAAATGCCGGAAGCTCGGTCAATGAGTATGAGCAAGAGTTTTCTCAGATATAACGGAATTAAGGGATTTGGGGATAGGACTGAAAAGTTAAGTTGAGGTAAAATGTTCGTTGGCGGTACAGAGCCAATGAGCATAAGGACTCTATGATCAGCGTTGAGTGGTAGAGCAGGCTTAAGGGGATGAATGGCCTTCTCCTGCTCCTATTTCTGATGTTCTTAGCAGTTTGCTTGCCCTTCCCCGACATCGCAAACCTTGCTCTACCTGGGGAGTTAAAATCCTGGGTCTCAAACCAGATGATGGAATGGTCTGCCGAGTCACTGGGGAATCTCCCTTGGCAACACCGAGACGCGTTTTGTTCATCTAATTGCCTTCCACCCACACAAATAATGTCAGCCATAAATAAAATTATTATGCAACAGACATCTATTTGTGCTGCTTGTAGCTGTCTCCTGTCAGTTCAGTCATAATTCACTGTCTCTGCAGAGCTGCTTTGCTCTTTATGCAACAGAGGAGCATGTAACAAGAGATAGTAGGAACTGCCGATGCTGGAGAATCTGAGATAACAAGGTGTAGAGCTGGATGAACACAGCAGGCCAAGCAGCATCAGAGGAGCAGGAAAGCTGACGTTTCGGGCCTAGACCCTTCTTCAGAAAATCATTTTCTGTGTTCATCCAGCTCTGCACCTTGTTATCTCAGCATGTAACAAGATGTGATCAGATATTCCTAGCCCTGCTGTTTGCTGCTAACTAAGACACAGGTCGCATCTCCCTGCCTCAGTGGAGGAATAGTATTCCTGCCTCTCTACTTGAGCTCCAAACCAGTGACCTCCAAACACCACAGTGTGGAAAGATGCCATTAAGCCCAGTGAGTCTGCACCAACCATCTGAAGAACTTTCCACCCAGACCCAGCTCCCTGGAGTAACCCCACATATAACAGGGTTCATCCACTTAACTTACACACCCCTGAACACTTGGGGCAATTTAGCACGGCCAATCCACCCACCGTGCACATCTTTAGACTGTGGGGTTAGCTGGAGCACCCGGAGGAAACCCATGCAGACACAGGGAGGATGTGCAAACTCCACACAGACAGTCACCTGAAGGTGGAATTGAACCTGGGTCCCTGGTGCTGTGAGGCAGCAGTGCTAAACACTGAGCCGCCGTGCCGGCCTGTGTTAGATAAGATGGTAAACTTCCTCAGACGGATCCCATTAGCAGTCATTATTGGAAGAGCATTGAGGGTGGGTGTTAACCCTCTCCCCACTCTACCAATGCCATGGCCTCAACCAGCAGGACACATAGTTCCTTGTTGTTAGTGGGATCTTGCTGTACATCAGATTGGCTGGCACAAATACACTAATGGCTATTACCACTACTGGAGGCAAATGCCTGAATGGCAGAGCAGGCTTGAGGGGCCGAATGGCCTAACTCCTGTTCCTTTTATTCGTTCACGGGATGAGGGTGTCACTGGCTAGACAGCATTTATTGCCCAGAGGGCAGTTGAGAGTCAACCACATTGCTGTGGGTCTGGAGTCACACGTCAGGATGGCTGTTTGTTTCCCTAAGGGGCATTAGTGAGCCAGATGGGCTTTTCCAACAATTGACAATGGATTCATGGTCAGCGTTAGATTCTTAATTCCAAATATTTTATTGAATTCAAATTCCACCATCTGCCGTAGCGGGATTCAAACCCGAGTCCCCAGAATGTCTCTGGATTAACAGTCTAGCGATAGCACCACTAGGCCATCGCTTCTCTTCTGCTAGCTGCTATCTCCCTCCTGTTCCTGTTTCTAATAGTCTTACAGTGTCACAACCCAGTACATTGACTATCAGCGTGCAAATCCTTCCAATGCACATCAATGGTAGGCAGTAAGAGTGCTGGAGATTTCTGGTTTGGATCAGATTGATGCCAACAGTTCTGGTGTCAACCCTTGGTCTTCCCCTGGTGGAAGTTATGGGGCTGTGGGTCAGACTGAGAACTGAAGAAGATTAATGGTTGAGCAGGGCACCAGGAAATGTCCCCCCGGCCCCTGACTCGATATTTCATGATAACCCTGTGAAACCTTTTATTCCCACTCGTGGGGGCACAGAGAGGCTCCATTTAAGATTACATCTGAGGTAGACACTAATGTTGCTCCCCATTGATGCAGTGAACAATGCCTTCTTGTAAAAGCAGATTGTTGAACTTGACAGTGTAATTATCTCCTGCAGGGTCGGAATGGAAAGGGAAGTATCTATGTGTGGGCCTCTGGGGATGGGGGCAGCTACGATGACTGCAACTGTGATGGCTATGCATCGAGCATGTGGACTATCTCCATCAACTCTGCCATTAATGATGGTCGGACAGCGCTTTATGATGAAAGCTGCTCCTCGACTCTTGCCTCTACCTTCAGCAACGGGAGGAAGAGAAACCCAGAGGCTGGTGTGGTGAGCACTGATATTATTCTCTCAGTCACGCTGTTTGACATGGAGCAGTGGCTGTTCCTTTGTTGGCGGGTCTAATGCTTTCAAAATGTTGTGGCTGCTATCTGGTGGGTATGAGTAATTGATATGGCTGTTCTATTGTTGAGTGAGAAACAGAGAAACCGCCTAATTAAATAAATGACCTAATTATCTCTTTCCTTTTCCCCACAATTGTTCTATTAAAGGCAACAACTGATTTGTACGGCAACTGTACTCTCCGTCATTCTGGGACATCTGCTGCAGCACCAGAGGCCGCTGGTGTTTTTGCCTTGGCTTTAGAGGCAAAGTATGTATGATGTATTTCTTTTGGCATGTTCACTGTGCCATTTTCTACCATGCTCGTGGCAATATATAAGCTGCGTTGAGAGTTGCTGGATGTCATATGTGCACCACCCACAAGATACTCTTCAACAACTCCCTCAGGCTCCTCCAAAAGTACCTTCCAAACCCACCACCATTGAGAAGGACATGGGCAGCAGATAAATGGGAACACTAGCCCCTGCAAGTTCCCCTCCGAGCCACTCCCCATCCTGACTTGGAAATATATCGCCATTCCTTCAGTGTCGCTGGGTCAAAATCCTGGAATTCCCTCCCATAGGCCATTGTGAGTCTACCTACAGCACACAGGCTGCAGTGGTTCAAGAAGGCAGCTCAGCACCACCTTCTCAGGGGCAACTAGGGATGGGCAAGAAATGCTGGCAGAGCCAGCAATGCCCACATCCCATGATCAATAAACTGCAAATTATAGTAGTTCATAAATTCTGTAAGCTATATATTGTGTTGTAGTTAGTTAAAGAAAAAGGTAAAATAATTTGCTATCAATGTGCTGTTTTGAAATATACGAGCAGGAGGAGCCCATTTATTCCCTCAACCCTGTTCCATTTCAACAAAGCACGATTTATCTGTATTTCAATTCCTGCACCCACTTTAACACCTCTTTGCCAACAAAATAACAACTCATTTTGGAAATTGTTAAGTGACCCATATTCTGAACAAGTTTTAAGGATAGAGAGGGCGGCCTAGATTTCCCTTTGTATGATTCCTGACAGCCTGGTTCTAACTTCAAGGTTATGTCCGCTTTGTTCTGGGCCATTCCCCTCAAGAGGAAATGGTTTCTCTCTACCTACCCTATCCAATCTATGAATCTTATTAGACCCCTCAAATATCCCATTGCTTGATCTTCCGACCTCACTCTGTCAGATGTGTCAGTTTTTGGATGAGACAGTAGATTATATTCCTGCCTTGATTTGAAATTGATCCTTGAAGCCCAAGCTAACCCTATATTGTCACATCCCTTACATCAGCGTGAATAAAACTTCACAAAGCAAAGATGAACAAAGCATCTCATTCATTTGAGAACAAGAAAGACTAAAGGTAAAATGCCTTTTTTTGGTTATGAATGTAAGATTTCCTGAAACATTAAACAGTGTTTATCTGTGGAATTCCCTGCCCAGTGAAGCAGCTGAGGCTACCTCATTGAACATTTTTAAGGCAAAGAAAGATAGGTTTTTGAATAGTAAAGGAATTATGAGTTATGGTAAGCAGGTGGGTAAGTGGAGCTGAGTCCATGAAAAGATCAGCCATGATCTTATTGAATGGTGGAACAGACTCAATGGGCCAAATGGCCCACTCCTGCTCCTATTCCTTATGTGTTGAAACGTATGAAATGCAGCAACCAATTTGCACACAGCAAGTTCCCACAAACAGTGATGTGCTAATGTTTTTATAATGATGATTGAGGGATAAAAGCTAGTCAGAATTTTGGGTGTACCTCCCTAATGTAGACAGGGTCCCAGTTTAACATCTCACCCAGAAGATGGCATCTGCAACTGAGCAGCACTCCCTCTGTACTGCACCAGGATGTTAGCACTGTTTTCTCAGCTCAAGTTTCTAAAATGGGATTTGAGCCCAGCAATCTCCTGACTCTTAACAGGCAAGTGTTACCACGGAGACTCAACTGACATTTGCCTTTCTTGGACAAAATTCATTCAAAAAAGAGGTAAGGTGAATATAGTCATAGAGTCATTCAGTCCGACCAGTCTACGCTGACCATGTTCCCAAGCTCAAATCGTCCCACCTGCCTGTGCTTGGCCCATATCCCTCCAAACCTTTCCTATTCATGTACTTATCCAAATGTCTATTAAATGTAGTAACTGTATCTGCACCCACCACTTCCTCTGGAAGTTCATTCCACACACAATCCACTCTCTGTGTAAATAAATTGCCCCTCATCTTTTTAAAATCTTTTTCCTCTCATCTTAAAAATACACCCCATAGTCTTGAAATCCCCCACCCTAGGGAAAAGACACCTGTCATTCACCTTATCTATGCCCCTCATGATTTTATAAACCTCTATAAGGTCACTCCTCAATGTCCTACATTTCAGTGAAAAAAGTCCCAGCCCAATCAGCCTTTCTTTATAACTCAAACCCTCCATTCCTGGCAACGTCCTGGTAAATCTCTTCCGAACCCTCTCCAGCTTAATAATATCCTTCCAATAACAGGGAGACCAGAACTGGACATTGTACTCCAAAAGAATAGTTCATATTGAAAGAAACTGTCTATTGCACAAAGATTTAAACCACTTTATATTTCTTCAGGATGTTTCATTTTATTGCAAAGCTGACTGTATGAGTTGCAATTGACAACAGATGGGAAAACCTCACACCATTTTCCTGCTCTTTTTGCAATTTCTGCTCCACAGTCCCACCCTAACTTGGCGAGACATGCAGCATCTGACAGTCTTGACTTCCAAACGCAACCAACTGCATGATGAGATCCACAAATGGAGAAGGAATGGTGTGGGCCTGGAGTTTAATCACCTTTTTGGGTATGGAGTGCTTGATGCTGGAGGGATGGTCAAAATGGCCAAAGACTGGAAGACAGTTCCTGAGAGGTTCCACTGTGTCGGAGGATCGGTGCAGGAGTCACAGTAAGTAGTAACTTACGCAATTCTATGACACTTTAGATACACCTCCAAAAGAGCTTAAGATTTTATAATGACTGGAAAGTGCTTCTCAAGCCAGCCAATTCATTTGTCTTCCCCAGGGCTTGAACCCAGATCCAAAGCTGACATACCCAAAGCAGGACTGAGGGAGTACTGCACTATCACAGGTGCCATGTTTTAGCCGATACTATTAACCAGCATAGCTGTCTGCTCTCTCGCATAGATGGTAAAATGAAAGGCCTCTATTTCAAAGAGGAACGGGGCAATTATCCTTGTGCCCCTGACGATAGCCATCCCTCAGTCAACATCACTGAATCTGAATGGCGCAGTTGTGCCAATAGTAAGGCTGTTCTGACAGGACGCTAGACTGAAGTTGTGAGTCGGGACCATGTGGAAGTCCCAGCTGACTCCTCGAGAATTGCCCTATAAGTTGAAACGTGTGATAGAATCCTCCAGGAATGTTGGAGACACAGAGACATTGGAGGGTTCTGACTCACTAACCTGACTAGGTAAGGTTAGAGGACTAAACCCTGCTGTAAAACCTGGGTAACGATTAAACTGATTCCCTGAATGCTAACACTGACACTCCCCCTCCCCCATCCACTTGATACTGTCCAGATTCAACCATCATCTCCTTTCCTCATGCTCCACAGACAAGACACAATCCCCATCACCCCAATTCCACCGGATCCAACTCAACCTGACCCCAGCCCTCCCCCTAACCTTTCCCCATCGCGACCTAACTCTTGCAGCCACAATATAACCATGTCCTACTGCCTACGACCCCAACAACCTCCCAACGCACTCTGACCTGAACACACCCACCCCACCCCCGAGACTGGACTTGCCACAACAGCTCTCATTCATCCCCACCCAACCCCTACATCTATGCACCCATCCACTTGCTACTCCCTAAACCCCCATCACTCTTCTACCAGCCTCCACCATTCACCTACCCTGCAAAGCCTTCTTCTGAAGGATTAAACGCTGCCCTGGTTCAGATTCTCTAACACCCCAGCACTGCACAATCTTCATGGCTGGGTAGTCAGTCAATGGCCTTGTAGTTACAGCAGTCAGGGATCACCTACAGACGTTCCCTTCTGTTTATTGAAATTATATACATCACATGGAAATAATGTTCATACTGCCTCAATGAACCCAGCATACGATATGTTAAAACAGCATTTGGAGGCTTTGTAAGTAATGAGGAGCTGAAGGAACAGGAAGATAACTCATCTATGTCTTGAGGGTCTGGGACATGTTGCTTAGTCACCGCTTAAAGTAACAAAGTGATTGAGGGGTTTAGGAGGATTGTGACAACCAGTTCACTGGGGGAGATTGAGATGATCATGCATGTATCTTCTGGGTGCATACTATATAAAACCTTCTTCGTCTGTATTTGAATATACTGGAGTTATGGATGAAATGTATGGGTCAAACGTTTAACTGGTATAAGTGGCATGCCACCCAAGTGCCAGATAGTGACCATCTCCAATAAGAGAGATCTAATCATTGTCCTTTTACACTATCTGGCATTACCATACCTGAATCCCTAACAATCAACACTCTGGGGGTTTACCATTGATCCAAAACTGAACTGGACCAGCCATATAAATACTGTGGCTACAAGGCAAGGTCAGATGCTGGGAATTCTGAGGCGAGTAACTTAGCTCTTGTTTTCCTAAACCATGCCTGCTATTTAAAAGGCATAAAGTCAGGAGTGTAATGGAATGGTTTCCACTTGCTTGGATGAGTGCAGCTCCCACAACACTCAAGAAACTCAACAACATCCAGGACAAAGCTCGACTGGCACCACATCCAGCTCCTACAACAGTGTATACTATCTACAAGATGCAGTTCAACAACTCACCCAGTATCCTTCAACACTCCTTCCAAACCCACAACCTTCACTATCTAGAAGGACAAGGGCAGCAGATACATGGGAACATCACCCACTACAAGTTCCTCTCCGAGTCACACACCACGTTGACTTGGAAATATATTACCATTCCTTCATTGTCGCTGGGTCCAATTCCTGGATCTTCCTTCTCAACAGCACTGTACTGTGTCCCTATGCCATATGGATTTCAGCTGTTCAAGAAAGCAGCTCATCACCACCTTCTCAAGGGCATTGCTCAGCCAGCAATGCCGATGTCCTGTGAACGAATGTCTTAAAAAGCTTTCAGAGCCGTAATCCAGTTGAAATTGTAAAACTTGACACCTGAGTTCTCAAAGTGGGTCATGAGCTGAATAATAAGGAATTATGTAATGATATAAAGGAAATGGATTGCATGATGTGACTGAATGCCCATGTTGGATTATCTAATGTTAGCCCAGTTGGCTGGATAGCTGGTTTACAATACAGAGTGATTCCAACAGCACAGGTTCAATTCCTGCACCAGCTGAGGCTACCATGAAGCTCCCTACTTGCCAAGGTCACCTCCCTCAGGTTAAACCACCACCAGTCACCTCTCTCCGATGTGAGAGCAGTCCGCTAGGACTATAGTCACTATCACTTCAGGCAAAGATCTGATCCTGCAGTTAGTACAACTGATATTTATCTAAATAATGGAAAAAGTACAATAATAAATAAAGTCAGAGATAGTAGGAACTGCCGATGCTGGAGTCTGAGATAACAACCCCCATCCCAACTCCCTACGTACACTCACCTTTACTGGCTCCATCCCTGCCTGCTTGACCTATCCATCTTCTCTCCACCTATCTGTTCCTCTATCCACCTTCCATCATTGCCTCCCCCTCTCTCTATTTATTTCAGGGTCCCCTTCCCCTCCATTTCTGAAGAAGTGTCCAGATCCGAAATGTCAGCTTTCCTGCTCCTCTGATGCTGCCTGGCCTGCTGTGTTCATCCAGCTCTACACCTTGTTATAATAATAAATAAAAGTAGCACATCAGCATTGACTTTGACCAGTCATATTTGTTCTGGAAACCTTTAACAATTAAAGCATCAATTAAGATTTTGCACAGACTTAGTAACTGCTCCAGATGAAACAAATGCAGAGCCAGTTATCAGGGCGAATGGTTCCCTATTGAAGTGTTAACTTCATAATATGTATTTTTTTATGATAATATCTATGAATACAATTACTGTTTAATAGCAAGGGGCATTGCTGAATCCAGACAAGTAAATAATGCTGCTTCGGAAGGAGTTGAGGAGCTGTGCCCTTTAGGGTGCATCCAATAAGACAAATTGCTTTCATTTTCACATTTTAAGAAGTTAGATTATGAGAAGTTGCAATCCGAGTGATTGGGTAATGTAATAATCAGCCCTCACAGTAAAAGCCCATTAAAGAAACCAGAATAAATGAAAAGCTCAGTGGCTTGGAAAATAGATGTAACAGGCTGCAATGCTTAGCTGTCAGAATGCTCGACGCTTTTCCACGGCTAAGAGCTTCCTGAGGCAAATGAAAAGAGTGGGAGGACATTTCTGGTAGATTGACTTCACCCACAGAGTGCTTTTAATCCCCACTGCTGCTAAAGTCTGTGTAGATAAAGCATCACCTCGGGTTTGCAGTTCTGATGAAGGTATCCGCTGGTGCTGATAGCCTAGACATTGTTTCTCCCCACTGTCTGGTGAGTCTCTGTTTCACCTTTGGAACTTATTTAGACTCTTTGCTGGAATGCAGCTTTATCATTTCCATTCTTCACAATCCAGACTGCGATAGATCCGATGGAAAGTTGAAAAGGGGCAGAGGATCAACAAATCATTACCATGAACGAAGCACAAAGAATCACAATTTTGCAGACAATTGTTTCATAGAAGAGTCCTGACCCGAAGCGTCAACTTTCCTGCTCCTCTGATGCTGCCTGGGCTGCTGCGTTCCTCCAGCTCCACACTGTGTTATCTCTGACTCCAGCATCGGCAGTTCTTACTATCTCTGAGTGTTTCATAGAAGTTGTTTTACAATGACAGAGCCCTCAGACGACAGGTTGATTTTTGTAAGTTAGCCGTAGTCTCAGCCGTAACTGACCGATCGAAGGCGAGTCCTTCTGCTTATGATCCCAGCCAGAGTTATGTTCCTGTTTACTGACGTCCTGTTGCTTCTCCTTGTCACAGAACGATCTCTTCGGAAGACAAGATGGTCCTAAAAATATCGACTGACGCATGTGAGGGCAAGGATAACTTTGTCCGCTACCTTGAGCATGTCCAGGCTGTGCTGACAATGAATGCCACCAGACGAGGTGACCTTAACGCCAACATGACCTCCCCAATGGGCACAAAGTCCATTCTGCTCAGCCGCAGGCCTCGGGATGATGACTCCAAGGTGGGCTTTGACAAATGGCCTTTCATGACAACACACACCTGGGGCGAGGACCCCAGGGGCACTTGGATCCTGGAGGTTGGCTTCGTTGGCGGCACCGAGCAGAAGGGGGTGCTCAAGGAATGGACCTTGATGCTCCATGGGACGCAGAGTGCTCCTTACATAGACCAAAGAGTGAGTGATTACCAGTCCAAATTGGCCATGTCAAAGAAGGAAGAGCTGGAGGAAGAACTGGACGAAGCAGTGGAAAGAAGCCTGAAAAACCTGCTAACGAGAAACTAGTTTAGTAAATGCTGCATGTCAGTCTTTCATCCCCAAATCCCACATTGTAGCTGCTTTGTGACTTAACACTCCCTGAAATGAATGTTTCCTGTTGCAAAATTATCACACCTTGCCGTGATCTTAAATTCATCTGTCATACGTTGTCAGTTAATAATTAAATTTAAATGACAATTTTTTTACACCAATAACTGTTAATTCCACAAATTTTATGTACAGTTGGTGACTGTAAGGATCGCTGGTGTGTGAAACTTAAAAGTGAAATCTTGCAAGCAAAGCAGTGATGGATTCTCTTTATATTTTTGTGATAAATGTTTATATAAAAAACGCACATTTCCAACTTTGCAGGCTATAGGTTTCAGTATATTTCCTCTAAATGAGCTTAACCAAGCTGAAAGCAGGCTTTTATTAGCTGGGTAGACTTTACACTGTGTCACTGAAGGTGGGCATCATTGAATCATACACGCCCATCTCTTCTGGTAATCAATAGGCAGAATGGTTTATTTCTCTACATTGGGATATTACAAAATAAAACAGACCGTGCATTAGTAGAATATTGTTTTGTGAACAATTACTGCCCATTTTGTAACTGTGAACACTTCCATTTTATTGCATTGTACAATATTTTAAAAAAATCTAAACCCAAAGCTGAAACCTTGAAAAGGAAGGTTTAGTTTGCCAATTGTTTATATCCCAGAACATTCGTAGCAAGTATTAATGCAGTGATTCTGAACACTTATACGCTCTCTGTCTGCAGTATTTCACATGGAATATGCACTGTACCGTGCTCACTGCATTACCTCTGGCAAGCTGCTTTGTGCTAAGATTAACAATGTTTAAACAGTGCGCTCTGTTGGGTGGGAAAAAAAAAGCCAAGTTCACGATAATGTGTTTCGGAATTGAATCAACTCAGCCTCTGGAAACTGATGAGGATAGAATGAAATGAGGAAAGTAAATGGTTCTGCTCCTCTTAAAATAGATTACAAGGTATAGGAGCAGAATCAGGCCATTCAGCCTATCAAGTATGCTCCACCACTCAATCATGGCTGATATGTTTCACGACTCCATTCCCCTGCCTTCTCCCCATAGCTCTTGATCCTCTTACTCATCAAGAACCTGTCTATTTCTGTCTTAAATACACTCAATGGCTTGACCTCCACAGCCCTCTGCAGCATTAGCAACAGGAGGAGCCATTCAACCCCTTGATTTTCTTCCAGCAATCAATTAGTTCTTGGCTAAATTGTCTCTTAACTCCATATAACCACTCTAGTTTTGTAACCCTTACTTTTCTTGCCTAACAACAATCCAGCAGTCTCAGATTTTAAATTTCTGACAAACCACACTCCCACAACCTCAACATTTTTTCGAGAGGGACAGAGCTTCATATCTCCACTCCCTTTTCAGTGCTAACTGACATTGCTCACAAATGGTCTCACTTAAAATTTTTAACTTCTGCTTCTTTGGTCTGGGCTCCCCCTACCAAAGAAATTCACTTCCCACTAATCTGTCCTTTGATCTTCTGATTGAACTTTTCAATCTGACATTAATCAGATGACACTTAGGACTATCGGGGCAACATTTGCTGAATTTTAAGAAAAGTGGCAGAACTTGCTTCACCTGATCCAGGTAGATAGAAAGAGAAATGTTTGCTGGCTAAAACATTTTGCCAAAAGGCTGGGTAGGATTCAAGGCCATATCCTCAGAATATTAACCTGGAATTCTGGATTCCTAGTCTAGTGACATTACCATAACATCACCATCTACCGTCCTCAAACATGGCCCAGTCACTCAACTGAAGGGCAATTACAGCTGGTTAGAAATGCTGGCCTTATCAGCAAAGCCCGCACCCCATGAAAGAGAAATAATATTTGTTCCATCATGTTCCATGACATGCATCATCTAAACAATATCAAGACGGTACAATTCAATTTGCTGCCATACTACTAAGGAATGTCAGCAGCTAATTGGTGAAGGTCATAGGATATTCAGCTTGTGTGTTTGTGGGATAAACACATTCTTGAATATCGATGTACAACCAGTTACTAATTATTGACTCTCTCTGACCATATGAGTTCATGGCAGTGATTCAGTTTACTCTTCACATTTTGGTCTCAAAGATATGATTTGATTTATTCAGAAATTAAAGACTCTTACAGAACTGTAGAAACACCACAAATTCTTCCACTTGCAAGAGATACTGCCCAGGACAAATGAACTTCTCTTAATCCTGGCAATGTTGGGTGGGGGGGTGGGGTTTGGCGGGGTGGGGAGCAGTTTCAGAGTCCAACTGGGAGGAGGATTGGAGGCCACAGCAATGCGGGGTCAGGGAAGAGTTGGCGGGGACAGGGAGGTGAGAAATCATGGTGGGTGTGTAAGGGGGCAGGGAACTGAAATGTCTGTTCATGGGAGGGTGTCCAGGCAAACCCATTAGAACTAGTGGTTAATTGCAAAAGGCAATTGTAACCTTCTGAACCCTGGCCTCTCATCTCAGGTTTAGTTGGCTGGTCCATGACACTGTCAACATTTGAATGAAGTGCAAACAAGAAGTCTTGCCTCATTATAATATACAAAGTGTGGAGGTGCCGGTGTTGGACTGGAGGTGGTGTAGTGATTGGGACCAGGTGGACCTCATTCACTACAAGGTTCTCGATTGGGGTTGTTACCCTGGACCAATCAGGAAAGCCCTGGCTGACCAATATAACCAGGAGACGACATGGTGGTGGGGGTCCCCAGTGGAGGGCTCTCTATTCGGGAGTCCTCCCTTTTTCCCTCCGGGATCTGGTGGGGGGGAGGATGTTGCATGTAGCAGCCCCATGTAACCACAGATTGTGGTGGTACAAGGACTCCCAGCCCAACTGTCTGTTTTGCGGCGCTGTGGAGTCTGTGGGCCATGTATATATGGGGTGTGGGCGCTTGCGCTCCCTTTTCAGTTACCTCAGAGGTCTCCTTTTGTGTTTTTGGTTGCACTTCAGCCCCGCGCTCCTGATCTTTGGACACCTGGCACGGAGGGGGATGGGTAGGTCAGAGGATCTCCCTGTGGGTCTGCTCCTGGGCCTGGCCAAGCTGGGCATTAACAGGTCCCAGCAGCGGGCCGTGGTGGGAGTCATTATGGCTAACTGCTTGCCCCTCTTCTGTGGCTACAGCCGCGCCCGTGTCTCCCTGGAGAAGGAGCACGTGGCGTGCACCGGCTCTCTCAATGCCTTTCGGGAGAGGAGGGCACCGTGGGGTGTGGAATGCTTTATTTCTCCCTCAAGCTCTATTTTGATTTGATCCCTACCCTCCCCCTCACGTTTTCTTTCACATAAGCTTTTAACCCAAAGGGGCTCTGCATGATACTGGTTCTTTTAGTCACATGGGTGTTTCTCCTGGTGGTGGTATATCAATAAAGTTATTTACACATCTGCAGTTTTCACTGTGTGTTGCACTTACACACACACATGGGTGCCGGGGAAAAAGAAAATATATATATATAAAACCAGGAGATTTAGAATCTCCTTAGTTCTGATGACTGACTCCGAGCTGGTTGATGACAGCCAGTGTACTGTGCACAAGTAAAGACCGATTGCACAAGTAAATAAATGTGATGGCATACCAGCCTCCGTGCAGTTATTTCAGGTGGGCAAGGTCAGAACTCACACAAGGCCAGGTTATAGTCCAACGGGTTTGTTTGAAAACACAAGTTTCCAGAGCGCTGCTCCTTCGTCAGGTGAAACAAACCGGTTGGACTATAACCTGGTGTCGTGTGACTTCTGACGAGATTCAAATGGCAACCCATGACAAGAGCAGTTTGGATCCCCACTTCCGATTTTTAATAAATGGGCAGTGAACAAGTTGGACATGAGTTGGGGTCAAAATTTGAATTTTTCATGATTTAAACCCCTACCAGAGCCTAAACACGTTCAATTATGGGGGGTTAAAATTCTCCATGTGGAAACAAAAAATAGGAATCAGCTTAATGGTAGGTGTCTTTTTCCTAGGATGGGGGAATTTCAAGATTAGAGGGCATATTTTTAAGGTGAGAGGAGAGAGATTTGCGGGGCAAATTTTTACACAGAGGGTGGTTCATGTGCGGAATGTACTTTCTGAGCAAGTGGTGGATATGGGTACAATTACATTTAAAAGATATTTGGAAGTACACGAATAGGAAGGGTTTGGAGGGATATGGGCCAGGAGCAGGCAGGTGGGACTAGTTTAGTTTGGGATTATGTTTGGCATGGACTGGTCAGGATGAAGAGTCTGTTTCTGTGCTTAATGACTCTATGTCTGTATGACTCTGCTTGGAGACCTATCTCTGGTGGCATAGTGGTCTTAACTAATAGTCTAGAACCTCCTGTTGATGCTATGGGAGCACAGATTCAAATTCTACAGCGGCAGCTGGATGTATCTGGAATTGAAAGCAAGTCTCAATAAATGGCAACAGTGAAACTATCAACAGCTGTGAAAAAAAATTGGTTCTCTAATGCCCCTTAGTGGAGGCATCAGTTCAAGGGCAATTAAGGATGGTCAATAAATGTGAGTTTGCTGGTGACACACATTACCCACGGAAGAAGAAATAAATCAGCCATCACATCCTGAGATAATTACCTTCTCAAGTTCAGAAAGCTGTAACTTGATAATAGGGTAGATGTCCTCTCCACTTTATATGCAACAAAATGATCAACCTGTTGAGGGAAGAAGAAATGAGAAAACAGACAGCTTTTTCTTTTTGTACACATCAGGATCAATGCAAGAATGCCTAATTTCAAGGGGAGCAATGATTTATAGTGCATGAGAACAGGTTAGAGATTGTTTGGGTGTAAGTCGACATCCATTCAGCAATTTTACCCAGGTCTGTAAAAGTTATTGCCAAACAATCAGCAGTCTATTTTCATGCAGCATATATTGTTGTTTCCTTTGAAATGTGGCATTCTTGTGATTCTGTCCTGATCAGTGCAACAGGAAAAGTTTCAACAACTTGTGTCTTTTGACAGTAAAACTCAAGACCTGTAGTATGAGGTGACTAACTATAACTGCTTTGCAAAGAAAAATATTTCCAATCATATATTTCAACTCCAGACGCCATTGGCTCATATTATTAACTATAAGAGAAAGCTCAAATTATATGCCAGGGCAATATGCTAAGAATGTAGAAGAGCAGCAAAATGCAGTGAGGCTCATTGAGTCATAGAGTCATACAGCATGGAAACAGACCCTTCGGTTCAACTAGTCCTTGACGACCCAGTTCCCAAACTAAACTAGTCCCACTTACCTGCATTTGGTCCATAATCTCTCCAGACC